GCTGTGGGGATATAATTCATTCTATCAGCCTTATTCATATTTGTTATCAGCCCCAATTTCCTCGATGAATCGACTAATCCATCAAGCTGGCCTTGTGTAGCAGGAAAGACTCCGTGTATGCATTGTTTGCTCAGGAAAAAGTTGCGCTTGTTACCTCAGCGGCCCTCCTTTTGTAGGCACACCTATGTTGTACAAGACATTAGATGACTTGTAGACACAAAAAGTGTGCTAGCCTTCGTTGTAGATGGCGAAGGCAGCGTCCGAGTTCACCGAATATTACTGCTGAGAGTACATCTGGATTCACAATTGTGCACTATACTGCTTGGATCGAAAGTATAATTGAATTCCTACCAATCCTTCTTTTTAGAAGGATCTTTGCGAGCAGTTATAGTTATAATTGTATCGCCTTGGCTGTCAGATGGGGCAGAACATTAAAGGAATGGAAATGCCCCTTTGAATTGCATGACATCTGGAAATCCTACTTATTTCAAATACAGACAGTAGGTATGTTGGTAGCTCGTTATTTTAGAGGATATTAAGAAAATGTATAATAGTATATAGTATTTTTTATACTTATATACGTATATAATTAATTATAAAATTGTTCTTTTAATTGACGGTATTAAGACCAAGATGAGGTGGCCTTTATTGTGGTCATCGTCCTACCTAACATACTACCAACGTCGCTTTGACGAGTTTTAATTTGCTGCCAAATACGTTGACTGCGAAACGTCCAGGAATGTACCAAGTCCACGGTCCGAAGCTGCATATTATGTTAGCTACTATAGCATAAGGCTCATGATAAGGGGCGTTCAGTTTGGTCTTTATATCTTCGATTAGGCTTCAGTCATGCTTCACATGCCCGATCACTAATAAGCCACAATGCCGGGTTGCGGATTAAACGGCTTTCTATACCTGGCCTATACACACTCGAGGGGGGGGGACGAAGGCCGGGTGAGTAGTTCATCGTTAAGGGGGAACTAAATAACTAAAATAACCAAAAAGTGGTCAAGGGGATTGCTTTCGCCTGCCACTTGATAAGCTATTACACTGTGCTGATGACGACACCTCTCACTGAGTATGCCGACTATGATGCTGGCAAAACGTTTGGGTTAATGTACCAATTCTATGGTCCGGTGCTTCAAATCACGAATACCATGGCAGAGGACGCAAAACTAGATACGTTTCACAAGGTCTGCCTGACGCTTCGATCAAGTTGTGAAAAAGGTGACTGCGGCCAAAGAGAAGGTCACTCCATCTTGGTCTTCATACCTACTATCTAAATAACTAAAAATTTGCCTGTATACACCGGCCCTCACGAAATTGCCCTTCCTTTCTCTTGCACACGAGGAAGAAAAAGAACCAGCCTCGAAGCTGATAATGGCAGGTACCGTTAGCCCAACTGTCGAGCTGGATGGCCTTCTTGAATTGTTTTCCGGCCATTCTGCTCAACCGAGCCAACTCAACATCTCTACTCCTCGCGACCAGTCATTGACAAGAGTTACACGAATATATTTGCTCTGGTCGTGTAAGCTTAATTGTCCCAACTGTGCCAAAGTAACCTGTTTGCCCCACACTTTTGGCACAAGGGAGCCACATCCTGAGTGTCAGGATGAAGAGTGAGTGGACGTACTGGAAATCCGAGGTGGATTGAGTGTCCCTTTCATCATACAAGCTTTTGTTGTGGGAGCATATTTCAAGGGCTTGGACAGAAATGAGAGGTCAAGAGCTGTTCAAATGATGCTGCTGGCATTCCAAACGCCTCTCGCCTATTCATCTCACCTCATTTCATCATGCCTTGTTCGCAGGTGAAGGATGGATATCTGGTTGCCTTGTCAGTTAGTCAGCCCGACTTCTGCACATATGGCATGGCGACACGGCAACTGGGACTTGACCCTCTCTCCAGAGGAGAGGGTGGATTGATAATGAAATTTTCCACCATTCGAGGGACTTATGGTGGCGAGTCTATACCACTATTCAAAAAGAGCAGGCCAGATAGCCTCAGTTACTGGGTTCGAATTAACGGGAACATTCATTTCGAACAGGGTACCGAACCGCTAGACTCAAGTGGCCCATATTTGTTTCTTTCTTTGCCAATCCCAATTGATTCAGTTGTCTAATTTCTCATACAGTAAATTTGCCAAATATTAGCTCTGAGAAAAACATTAAAAGGTTATGTGATATCAAATGTCAACACAACGGTCGACATAGGCTTTTGAAATTGAGCTCCACCTTGGATGCAAATCACTTTGGGGGGAGAAGGCCAAGTGAACTACGAAGGCAGTGACAAAGAAATTCACTCTCAGCACTTCATCACCTTAAGCGACATGAGGTGATAACAGTTCTTACTTAGCATCAAATAGACAGGAGAGTAAAAGAACTTACCAATACTATTTTACGGATAGCAGATATAACATGCGGGAACTGAAAGAAAAGCACAAATTTCTGTATGCACCAGCACTACAAGATTCGGACACAAGAGTGAAACCAGCTCATGATTAATTATTCACACCATGTTTCATCATGAACAACACTACACTCAATTCACCCTCGATATCCAACGCACTTAATCTATTGGTCGCTTGGTTATGATTGGCCTTAGCAACCATATCTACCAACTAGACATGGGCTGGTTTTGGATTGTATCAGGCATTCACAACTATCTGATCATCTAGCCAAAAGCATGCCCACAATCATTAAGAACTAGAGTCAGCCTAGGTCAATTTAGATGACGATTTGAATGATAGTTGGATGCCCCACAATGCAGTTGGTAGGCCTTACAATAATTTCACTTAGACCTGCATCCCAAAGGGATTTAGCATCGAGTGTGGACTGCAATTTCGACCCCATACAGAACAATCATCACCCCCAGCGGGATTCGTAGCCGTAAAGTGCACTTGAATTTACCACTCCGTCACGCAAGTCCGGCTTCTCCCAGTCCATAATTACAATCGGATTGTCCATGACGAAAGTGAGTATCTGCCATAGTAGATCTTGAATGAAACTTCGACTCATCCTGGTTCATTTAAGGTGATTTAAGAACGGAATTTACAGAATGAAATGTGAATTCGGAAAGATCAGGCTTGCTTTACAATTTATATTGCTTATGTAATCTGTTGGCAACATTACACAAACGATCTAACTTTAAAATTCTTTGGAAGGGCGGGCGAGACTTGGGCGATATCGGAACTACAGTCTGCCCAAGATGAGAGATCCTCTTATGGGGCATGGGTAGGTGATAGTATTAATGGAAAGTCATTCGAAATTTACTATTTTTATTAGAAAATTATCTAATGTATTCGATTGTAATAGCAAAAATACGTTTGCTTCATTGAAAATCCCACCAAAGTATGTGATATGGGAAAAGGGTTGGCCTTCCTTGAAATTCACATCGGCCCTGTGACCCAAGGACACTCGTGGCAATCTGGCCGAGTGGTTAACGTGTCAAGCTCACGGTTCGACTCCCGCTATGCGAGGTCAAAACTGCAGTCCATCTTGGATGAGAATAACTTTTGGGAAAGCAAGGCTCCGTGAGATTTAGCTCTACTCATATCATTGTGGGAAAATTCTACTGCCAGTTCTTCATCATCTTAAACGAAATAGGGTGAATACATCTCATATTACTAAAATTGGGTTCATTTCCCTTTTGAGTGAAAGTGCCTTAATAGGTGTATGTTTGGGTGTTCGCGTGCTCGCGTGTGTGTGTGTGTGGGGAGGGGAAGAGAGCTTATTAAGGCGATCGCAACAGAATACGATGGCAGAAATCTCCTGTCCAGCTGTTTTTCGGGATTACCATAAAGTTTTGGTTGGTCCTGTCTTACAGAAAATCTATTTCGTTTGCTGTGAAAATGAGCAAAACTTTCCCCTGTCAAATGGCAGACAATAACTGAGCAGAGTACCATTCCTACGTTTAATTGAAGCTGAGTCATGAAGGCCCTATCTTCTTTTCTAAAAATTCAGAGGACAGGTTAAGAGGGGAATAAAGATTGTCATTTATCTTGGAAATGAAGACCAAGTTGGTGTTGCCTTCTGTGTGGTCGCAATCTCCTTTGGCTCTATAGCGT